CGGAAAGGCGGCTGCTCTGCGGACGGCTCTTGCCTGGCTTCAAACGCAGGATGGGTAAAACGCTCGGTCTTTGCTGCAGGATTAACACCGATACCTGCTTTTCGTCACCTGCGCTCTGCGAAGTATCGTTTTTCGCCGCCTTAATATGTGTTTACAGCTGGCGATGAGTTACTCCTTGCAAATGACCTCTTGGCGTTGTTCTCTGTCAGGGACTTCTTCTCCGTGGGTTTTGCTGACTCTCATTGCTGCTAGTTCAGTTTCTCTGCAGGGAGAAAAAAAAAAGTGAGAGTCTTCATTCTGAAATTAATGAAGATAATCCCATTTAGACTTCATTCATCCCTTTTGCTGCGGTCGCAGCGTCAGGTTAGGCTGCTTTTCTGTTGTTAACGAAAAGAAATTCTGTTGTTGGGGAGGTTTTTTCCATCACTGTTAACAAACAGCCACCTCGCTGCAATCATTCCCCCTTAAAGACTGGGTAACAGGGGCTCTGAGAGAACAGGACTTTGTTTTTCCTTCAGAAGTGTGTCCTGGTGCTCCGTGAAGTAACATCATCCTAATAATGTACGTTCTAGATAAATTCTTAAATGAGACAACTTCAGTATAAAACCATTAGCTTTAGATTTAATAACGGGGGTTGCATTATGCCTGTTGGGCTTGAATCTGTAGTCCCTGTGACCTTCTTCTGATGCTGTTCCATTAATTTCAGTGGAACTATTACCGATGCCTTCCTACATTGATGGGAAGAGCCTCCATTTTTCCAGTGGGATGAACGTGCCTGTTTTGTGTTAGCATTCTTCTTAGAAGACCTTTTCACGTCTTTAGCATAATGCTAGGGAAGAAATGTAACAAGATGAAAGAAGGATGTGGTGCCATGACCACTGTCTTTTAAAGGAATATGAGCTGCTTTCTCATTTCAATAATTCTTCCTTCAGGCCCTTTCAGAGCAGTAGAGTTTGTTTCATTCCTAATTTTAGCCAGAGGGAGCTTTTATAGGTATTGGCTTTTAAGGCAATCAGTGGCCTCTGCATAAATGACTGTCGCTGACTGATCGTGTGAGGACAGGCTGGACCAAACACACCTGAAGAAGCTGATCTTACCAGCTTTGCCAGCTAGAGTCAGTGATACATGTCTGTGTGAAGTCTTTCTTGTATTCTGAAAAAAAAAAAAAGGGGGAAAAAGTGTGAGACATTAAAATCTAACCTTAAGTTGTTTTTCCCTGCCTTCCCCTACAAAACCCTGGCCTAACACAGGGCTAATCAAAGTAGGATTGTAGCCGTTTGTTATTTTCACTAGCAAAAAAATATCAGTCTTCCACCATGTTTGTGAGCTTGCATCGCCTCTTGTTCCATAAAAAAGTTGTTGACAGGCTTTTTTTAAATAATACAATGGAATAGCAGAAAAACATGCTGGAGAAGGCTTGGGCAGTAGACTGCTGTTTCCCTTCCCCTGCCTACAGATCCCAGAAACAATGCATCTGTGTGAGTACCGTCAGGTTCTGAAGACATTTGCACCCCAACATCTTCACGCTCTCTTCAGTTACACTGTCGGTGGTTAGGTTTTGCTTTCTTCAGATACGCTCCCAGTGGACAGAAGGAACGTGATTTCATCTCTGTCCTGCTTTTGATCCCCATGGAATGGAGAATAACACATGGAGAGGTAAATACAGTTCTAGATTCTCCTTTTAAAGTAAGGAGGATATGTATGGCATCAGCGATGGGGTATGCTCCTGGTCCAAGTTTATTAATTAAATCAGATAGTTCACTTTCGTTCATGTCATCATCTGATGCTACCAGAACTGAGCTAAAATCACAGTGAAGGTTGCAGTGATGTACCACTATTGATCGACTTCTGACGTCTCACAGGAGCTCCTGTTGAAGCATTGGAAAACTTGTGAGCAGTTTTTACAAAATTAGTCTGCACCCTGGTAGTTTTTGCTACCATTTTACCACTCTTGTGATGCAACTGGACTGCCATATGTAACACAAGCAAATCTGAAGAGAGCCTTTTTTGCACTGCACGTGATAATCAGAAGAGCTTTAAAGTAAACACTGATTTTATGACAATGTTCTACTCATCTTTTAATGTAACCCCTCTAGCAAGTTAATTCTGTACAAATTTAGGTCCCTGTTACTAAACATATTTTCATTACTACACATTTTCTGCTGTGTACACGTACAGCAAAAGGTCTTGCGCTTTGTCCTTCAGTTCCTCCAATGCATGTAAACTTTGGCGTGGATAATTTTGGATTAGAAATCTGGAACTAACGCTATTTTTAAAATCAAGCTTTGTTTATTGGTGCTCAGGGCCCCTGAAATGGGGGAAAAAAGTGCTTATTGTATTCTACTCAGCAGAAAAGAACAGCATCTATATTCTATTTAGTGAAATGCATTGTAGCTTTTCATTTCCCTGCGAACTAGAATGAGCGTACTCGTATGCCAGCACAGGTTATGTGCTCTAGATCAGTCTGCTGAGAGAACATTATATTTTATTTAGCTTTGTCTAGTCATTTTATTGGTGTATATTTGGAATTAAATGTTTTTATTACTTATTCATGGAACATGTGATGGCTTCTCAGCCCCTGGTAACAGAAGATTCTGCAGGTTTATTGCTGTTTCTGGTCATGTTAGGCTTAAGTACCGAAGTGGGCCAGTGGTGATGCTACACCCCGTGTTCTCGGTGCCCACGGATGTGTTTGTGGTTTTGTTTTTACAGTAGCAGAACTGCACGTCTTACAAGACAGCGATGGCTTTTCCTCTAGAGTTTGAATATGGAGGCCACAGGGACAGATGAAGTAGAAAAGATAAAATCAAAGTTTATGTCTGCATGGCACAACATGAAATACAGTAAGTGAAACAGCGTATGGTAACATCCTGTCTCCTTTGAAACGAGTGGAACGCTTCTTGTTGACTTGAATGGGATCATGATTCGGAAACTTAATTAATACTACTAACAAAAATGAAGTATGGCCCTTGAAATAATTTTTACTTTGATATCATAAATAGCCTGAGTAAACAAGCTTGTTTAGCTTTTCATTTTTCAAAGAAATTTGCATGACTTCTTTTCTAAATGACTTCTTTTGAAAACAGCGAATACATTGTGTAAATGACACTAGATTTGCATAGACTTTTTAAACAGGGATAATATGGAATCATCTGCACTAAGATATTTTATTTTTTATATGTACTTTTATGGAAAAAATAGGACAGTGTGTGAAATACAAACTCCACTGAAGAATCTACTTCACACACTTGAGTAACATGCTTTTCCACAGTTGAAAAAAACAAATTATATATTTATAAACAAATTCCTGATGCTCAAGTGTGCCCTTTACTAATCTGTCCTTAACTTTAATTTTTCTGCTTTCTCTCTACAACTGAGGTTGCTCAGATTTACCACCAGGTTTCTGATAAATCGTGTTCATTCTCATAACTAAGCCTTGATGTCTGGCAAGATGAAAAGATGCTTTTCTTCTGCTTTCTTTAAGGCTACCACATGGCTGAAAGGGAATAGAAGTCATCACACGCTGCGTGTGATAGGAAAAGTTCAAGAAACTATTGACTTAGGGTATCAAACAGCATAGGATTTAGACTTAAGTGAAAAAGCTACTGTGTGGGGACAGTATCAAATGATAAAAACTGAATTCTGGCCCTTTGAATTTGTGCAGCATATCACACTACTCTTTTTGTGTCTGCAATCTGCAGTTTAATTTTGTGATAAAGAATCTTTAATCCTACGGGAGAAGCAGTATTCTTCGTGCATTTTCGCTGGTCAGGTGTCAGATTTATTGTGTGTTACTACAGGTGTTGGAAACCCCACAGAATCAACCTACGCAGTAACGAGCTCACAACAGAAACAGCGCGACTTAAGCTCAGCGTTCGTGTTTCCGCGTCCTAACAGATAGTTAGGATTTCTGGGCAGGAGTACCGTTGCATTAACGTTCCAACTTTCATATGTGGATACCATTGTTACTTTTAAACCAGAGCTCTAATCTCTGTTTTGCAGAACTATTAAATGTTTTGTTATTTATGAGAGCAAAACCCAATTTCAGTACGTTTTCTTTGTATTCCCCTATCAAGGGTTACCTTTGGCTTAACCAGATGCCGTTAGCAATTCCTCTTTGGAATACTTCAGTCACAAATACGTATTTGTTTTGTGTCTCTTTTAGGTTGGGTGTTGAAAACAAAAACTTACTTCAGTAGAAACTCTCCGGTCTTTCTGCTGGGAAAATGTTACCACTTCAAAACTGACGGTATGTACGTAGCACTTAACTCCTTCCAGTCTCGTTCAACAGGAGCTCTGTGTGTGTATTTTTAATCTTCCAGAAAGCCTGTCATTAACAATGACCAAATTCAAAATGGAGATATGAAAAGCTTACAAAATACTCATTTAAATGTCCAACACCACCACTCGTGTAACCCATCCTAGCCTGCTTTATTCAGATTTACACTGAAGTCTTGTTCTTTTTGTAAATATTAGTGCTCTAATTTGCACTTATTTCATTTACCCATTAATTTGAGATTTTATTTTTAAAAACTCCTGACTAAAATAGTGACAATGCCTGTACGATCTCTACGCCAACACCTTTGTTACCGTTTTTCAGTATGCAGTTTAAGAATCTCGCTCTCTATTTGTCCATTTAGGTGTAGATGAATTAAGCAGTTGCTTGCTTGCAAGTCAGTGATTCCATTAGCACAGTTAACGTTGGCTGCGTTGCTCTTTTATTATATTTTTTTTAAGCTCTCACATCTCTGTCGCATTTGCCTTCCAATTTGCCGGTCTTGTATTTGAAGCAATTGTTATTTTTTTGCAAGTTTGCCCTGTCTTTCCGATAGAATAGTATGTTTCTACTTTCCTTCTAATAACAGAAGTGCCGTACCAAGTTACAACTTAAATTTGTGCTTTGCCTTACAGAATCTGGTGAACTCTCTACAGATGGATCCAATTTTGATAAAATCAAAACGGAGATTTCAGGAAATGTTGAGGAGTTTCGTAAAGATTTTATTTCTAGAATATGGCTGACTTACAGAGAGGAATTTCCTCAGATAAAAGGGTCTGCATTAACAACAGACTGTGGCTGGGGTTGCACACTGAGAACTGGTCAGATGCTGCTGGCTCAAGGTCTTATGCTTCATTTTCTTGGTAGAGGTAAGTTACAGGAGAAGGTCTCTATATTTGGCATGGTAAGCATGGGTGTTCTGTAGAGAGTGTGATGGTTTTTACATAGTTCGAATCTAAAGTGCATGCTGGTTTTGGTTCTGGACTTCCTGTCATTAATATTGGAATTGTTACCTGGCATTTGGAGAGGGACTTTTTACAAGAGTATGTAGTGACAGGACACGGGGCAATGGCTTTAAACTGAAAGAGGGGAGATTTCGATTAGATCTAAGGAAGAAATTCTTCCCTCTGAGGATGCTGAGGCACTGGAACAGGTTGCCCAGAGAAGCTGTAGATGCCTCATCCCTGGAAGTGTTCAAGGCCAGGTTGGATGAGGCTTTGGGCAACCTGGTGTAGTGCAGGGTGTCCCTGCCCATGGCAGGGGGACTGGAACTGGATGATCTTTGAGGTCCCTTCCAACTCTAACCATTCTATGATTCTGTGATTAGAGCTGTGATCTAGCTCTAGATAGAGCTGACCTACCTTCCATTTCTGAAAAAGGGAATACCAAGGAATGTCAAAGGAAGATAAGTAACGTCAAAGGAAGATATGGGATGTGTTCAAGGCCAGGTTGGATGGTGCTTTGGGCAACTTGGTGTAGTGGAGGGTGTCCCTGCCCATGGCAGGGGGGTTGGAACTAGATGATCTTTGAGGTCCCTTCCAACCCAAACCATTCTCTGATTCTTTGTGTTGAAATTTTCACTATTTCGTTTCCTCCCTTCCCCCTAAGTACGCACAGAGGCACTTCCCTTTTTTTATTTCCCTCTCATTGTCTGTCTCAGAATACTCCCTCAGTCACAGCTGTTTCAAAGAAGTAGCTTGAGGAGACTTGTAGTGCTTCCTGCTTTCAAAGGTTAAGCGTGCATGTCCTCCCCAGTCTTCCCAGCTGAACCATGACCTGTGTAGAGGTATTTTGGGTTCTCTTAGTTAACCACCTTCTCTTTCCATCCTCTTCTCAATCCCTTTCATAATCTACTGCATTGCCCCTTTCAAACAATTGGTCCTGTCCTCTGTCACCACTGCTTGTTGTCAAAATGATCCAAGACATGGGGCTGAAGCCACCCGGGCACGTTCGTCACAGAGAATACAATGCATTGTTTGCTCAGCTGTTTGTTGGATCCCAGGAATGCTTTAGGAGAAGATAGTTCTGAAAGCCTGTTTTGATAAGACTTGGTACTTACTGTGCAGATGTGATGTAAGCTGTGAACATAGTCCCAAACAAGCTGCATCACAAAGTCGTCTTTCTCGGCGGTGTCACGACCGAACTGTCGGGTTGGCTTACTGAATGCTCTTTTTGCTGTAGATATTTAAGTCATAAAACATTCATTATCCCTTTCAACTGACTGCAGATATCAAAACGTATGAAAATACTTCTGCGGAGAACACAAATCCCTTAAATACAACTTTCCTTACACATATATTTAAAGAAATTTACAAAATCTGATCAGAAGACTGCCTGTGAGTAGGAACACATAATGGCTCATTCTGAAGTAACCCTGAACAAAAAAGCCCCAGGTTTATATCTCTAAAATCCACGGTTACAAAGAATTCCTTGCACGGTCCCCTGTGCATCCTAATTTGGAAAGTGATTTGGTCATTCCAGAGTGCTACTGTTCCTGTGGCAATCCAAATGCATAGAAACATGGAATATGGATGGTCTTTCTGGACTACTTTTCTCATCACCTAGCCTTCTGACAGCTGGTGAATTATCTTTTGAAAAGGTTTTTATGAGGTCTGAGTAGCTTTTGAAACATATTTGAGTGTTTACATGAAGTTTTTCATCGCTGTTTACTCTTTTCCCAGAGATGTTTTCATTTTAGTTTAATGGTATTGTTTCTGTTACAAAGCAAAACTTGACTGCAGTTACTAGCTGGAATACTTACGCTTCTGCTGCTGTGTAGAAAGTTCCAGATATCGCTGAATGATGTTGTAAATGAGTTTTTATTTTAAACATTGAGATGCTGGTATGTTTTACTTCGAAATGCTTGTGCTTAAGACACTGACTTACGTTTGAAGCTCACAGTAGAGGAACAGCAAGGCCTGTGATGTTGTGTTGAGCTTACGCGTGCCTCTGCCTGGGTCTGCAGCGAAAAATTAACATGAGGTTTCATGTTAATTAAGTTAATTAAAGTTTCATGTTAAGGGGTGTCACTTGTGGTAAGAGGCATTGATGCGGAGTGGTTGTCGCACTGTAAGGAGAGTGGGTGATGTGTATCACGGCCATTACTGGAGCCCAAAGGTAGATTTTTAGAATCAAAATATAGTTGCCTCTGTGCTTTCTCCGTGTTTCTCAAAGACCTTTACGTGGATACTTCAGTAGGAATTAGGAGGAGGGCTGTAGTTCCTGCTCTCTGTCAGTACTGGTTTGAGAAGGTTCCTCTTGCTGCTGTAACAGCAGCTTTCTGGACCTCCAGGAGCTTACCCGGTTCTGGCTCCCTGAGCAAAAGCACCTCATCCGTAGGGTTTGCTCCTTTGCACGTGGCCGCCGTCCCCTTGGCTGCCTGCTGGGATGTTCGTGGGAGGCCTTCAGGGTATGTTTGGATCTCACAGGACGTTCACCGTGTTTCGGAGGTTTCCTCACGTGCTCTGTGTTGCAAGTAGTTGTTTGAGCTTGTGGGGGAGGCTTTTGGTCATCCGACAAGGGAAGCGTTGCTGTGGCTGGATTTGCGGAACCACCGTTGTGCCGTAAGAGGAACGCCGCGCGCAGGACGCGTTGTTAGAGAAGCCTTTTGCAAGAAACGCAGGCTGTAGATACTGTGCTGAGTAGTGTTTGAACAAGCTTGCCTTGTCATCTAGGTAAAAGATTCATAAATCTAGTGAAGAAAGAAGTCTTGTCTGTTCTTCTGCTCATCTCCTTTGACAGTTTGCCAGAAAGAATTGTTTGTTTTTACATTAATAATTCCTCAGGTTTGCCTGTGTTTTTTTTAATAACTGACAAACCAGAAGAATTAAAAACAGCTTTTGAAACTTATGTTTGACATGGATAAAACTTTTTAGATGGTACTGAATAGCTAACTTGTGTGTTTTTAATATGTAAGATAGTTGTAACGTGCCTTTTAATCAGGTATATCTTAACTGACTGGGATGATGGAACCTGACCTATCTCAGATAGCATAAATTGCTAACAAGTGTACTGTTAGTGATATTTTGTTTCACCTATCACTGAGCAGAAGATAAAAGCAAATCATATCCTACTAAAATTCCTTTGTTTACATTTTAACACTGACATTTGCATCTCGGTACGTGATGTACGTGTTGTTGGTCCGAGGAACGTGAGGGAGAAAGGGATGTGCTTTACTAATGGTACCAAAAAGTTAATGTTAAGCCTAATGTGCATCTTAAAATTTCTCGCTGCAGCCTGGGTCTGGCCAGATGCATTGGACATTGACAATTCAGATTCCGAATCGTGGACAGCCCACACAGTGAAAAAGCTGACAGCTTCATTCGAGGCATCGCTTACGGCAGAAGGAGAACCCAGGATCCTGTCCCATCATCCTCAGGGAACATTAAAGAGAAACTGCGATGCCAATGAAATGAGAAATGAAGTTTATCACAGGAAAATAATTTCTTGGTTTGGCGACTCTCCGCTGGCAGCTTTTGGCTTACATCAGCTCATCGAGTATGGAAAGAAGTCTGGAAAAATCGCTGGAGATTGGTATGGGCCTGCAGTTGTTGCACACATTTTGAGGTAAAAATACCGCTGTTCTTTGTTGTTACCGTGCCTTACACGTTACAGGAGAAGCGTTTCAGAGTGTCATCAGATTACTTCAGCTTAATTGAGCACCTCATTGTTCACTATTGGCTTGGTAAAATGTCCGTTATGAGTAGCAATTCCAGAGATTTTTCAGAGGCAGGAAGGGAAATGGCAGGTGCAGGAATGGAACTCTGAGCCTTTGTTCAACCTTATTCAAGAAAAAAATGACATACTGCCATATTTTGGGCAGTAGAAGTCCGAAGTATCTCTCCCAAACCTGGGCCTTTAACAAAACGTTCTAAAAATTAACCACTCTTTCAACCTTGGAACATGCATAACATTGCAGAGCTTTTTTTTTTTTTTTAAATACTGTAACCTAGGGGCTGTAACGTACTGATAGTGTAATGAAATGTCAGAGCTAAAATTGATGTTTTCAGCATTTCTTTGCACACATCAAATTCTTGTGAAACTGTAAACGTATAGGACTATTAATATTGTAATTATATCACAGTAAAAGTAAAGGGTCTGTGACATTCAGTGTGGTTAAAAAAAAATAAAGTCAAATTTCTCTATACTATGTACCTTTATATGCCATTTCTTTGAATATTACTGATTTTCTTGTTTTGTTTTGTGTTTTGTAGCCTTATGCTCTTAGTGGATTCCAGGTTACCTATAAGCTGAATCCCTACTAAGTCATTTAAGCAGCAGAAGCCCAAGTTCATACGTTTATCTATATGTACATGAATAGAAGAAAGTGGCATTTAGTACGAAAGTGTATTAGTCTTAGATGAACCTGTATGGAAAGAATCAGGTGTATATGTGTGCATACACACAAACCCATACAGAGCTGTGAGAGGTTAGCGTTGTTTATGTGCTTTCTTCTCTTTTTTTCTGATGAGAAACTCTCAGAATTCTTCTGGCTTGCTTTGAATTGCAGTGGCCTGTTTACAGAATGGGAGCAGGGGGCGGGATTTGGTGCAGAATTCCGTTCAACACAAACCCACCTGTGATTCCCACCCCTGCAAAAGTTTCCTTTCTGAGATCTCCTTTCCCTCTTACGTCAGTACTCACAATGTATAGCGCTCTCATAGCTTTTGAACAGTTTAATTTCTTTACAAATGTCATCCTTGATTGATGTTCATCCATCAGACTATCAACGTACATTTTCTTTTTAGCTTTTAGGTCCATTACTCTCACTGTTTTGAGGATGGCCTAATATTGCAGTTATCTTTTTGAAAATTTTCGTGAAACCTTACAGCTTTTTATGTGCTAGCCTTTCTTTCCAGAGCCACAAATTAGGACCTCATGCCTGCTTATTTGAACTGAGGTCAACTGAAGAGATCTATCGAGTTGAAAGTAATATTTTTGTCAGCAAATTTAGCCTTTGTTGTCCCAATATACATGACAGCGAATTGTTATAAACAGGAAGAAGTTAGGTAGTGAATATGAATTTCATTGGAAGTTAATGTGTTTCTTTGGGCTTTTTTTTTGTGGTTTTCATTGTTTCTTCTAAATAGCCAGACATCGTCATCTTTGCTTGGGAAAATCATGTTGCCATAATCACTGGATCTTGGTATCCAGTGTTTAAAAAGAACCCCCCCCCCACTTACCTGTCCCATCTGTAGTTACCAGGAATGGAAGGTGTTTTGAATTAAAAAAATAACCAAACAAAAAAATCCCAACCCAATGACAGACAATTAAACCCAACCTTTTTCTAAAAATTAAATAATTCATGTTTGTTTACTGTTAATTTCTTTAAAATCAGAGATGAGTTAAATAGTTTTGTGTTTGTACTTAGAAAAGCTGTTGAAGAAGCAAGAGACCCTGAGCTACGAGGAGTAACAGTCTATGTTGCTCAGGACTGTACAGGTAAATGTTGTGATTATGTAGATTTTTGCAAACATTTTAGATGCTTTTTATGCCTTTCAGTAAGCACTTAACAATAGAGCTCCAAAGGAGAAAAATAACCTCAAAATTAGATCCACAGAATTGAGATTATGTAGACAAAGGGGTTTTTGATATATGCAGATGTTTGTTCTCTTTGACAATTGGACGTCACAACTTGAAAGCTTCGTACATTGCTTGTTTGGTATCTCACAGAGGAATTCCAAATCCAGCAAAATAACTTTTTCTTACAATCTGCCTGTTGTAATTTTTTCTTTTGGATTTAAATCAATCAATAATCTGTTTTTTACTCGCTTCAATGTTGTTTTAGCAATAAGCTAGTAAGAACTTCCATATCTTACCAAAAATAACCCCTGAAAAACAACCAACCAACTGAAAAATACTTGAGTTGAGTTAGATTTGTTAGTTATATTTTATTTGTGTCTTGTCTTGCACCACAGGATTCTCTTTTACCCATTTTTTTTTTAATGGGGAAAAAAAAAAACCTACCACACCAGTCTCTTAGAATAGTAAGAAATCATTTTCGCTTGGAGTTCAAAGATGTGAGCAGGATAGTGACCCTGAGCCAGTGGTAACCTTTGCTCCAACGTGGCATTTTAAATGATCAGTAACAGGCAGAGGAACTTGGAGCACTGGTGTTCAGGAGCAGAAAATGATGTCAAGGTAAACCAAACGTGTGGTGAGACTATAGTCTTTCAAATCTAAGCACTGTGTGTTACTTCCGTAGCCATGTTTAGCTGCCAGAAATTTTAGTTACGTCAGAACTGATCTGGGGATAGGACAGACAAGACCGACTTCCCTGGGTAATGGATCAAACTGATTTTAAAGAGACACTGTTTAATCAAACACTACAAACCAGTTTCACCTGACTTACAATGACACTGGAAACTTAAAATTGAATTTTTCTCTTCTTTGTTCAGGTGATGGCTTTCTGTCTTAGTTTGGAGGGAATAAACAATAATACTACATGAAGTTTTTTCGCTCATTTTCAATGTCTGTGTTGTGTTCGCTTTAGACAGTGAACTTGAGTATTTATTAAAAATCAATTATTGTCTTTTTTCCTTTCACATGTAGGTGTTTCTCTTAGTTGTAGGCTTTCAAGTTTTAAATTACTTCTTTTAGAAGAAGTTTATATGATGTGAATAAGTATTTATTTGCTTTCTCCCAACCTCCCCCTTCTGCATTTTCCTGACAATGCTTCTTACCTCAGCAGCAGCAGATTACCGTTCTACAAAATGCTGCTGAAAATAAAGAGGCAGAACACTGTTTTCTCAAAAATAAGGAGGCGGAACACTTTTTCATCAGAGACACTCAGGAGTTACGTTTCAGGAGAACAGCAGGATTTGGAAGGACTGCAGTTTTAGTTTGTCAAACTAAGTGATAACATGTTGTAGGTATGTCTTTGTAAAAGCTAGCGGTTATGTTTTAAATACGAATATCTCTGTGTGTCTCCTTCCAGTCTACAGTTCAGATGTTGTTGACAGACAGTGTTCTTTCATGGATTCTGGAAAAGCAGACACAAAAGCTGTAATTATATTAGTTCCTGTGAGACTCGGTGGAGAGAGAACGAACATGGACTACTTGGAGTTTGTAAAGGTATGAAATGAGAGCTCAATCATTTTTCAAATAGCAGCACTAGCTGGTAGGAAAAGCGACTATATGATGGTAATCTTCTACCTATTAAATGCGTGGTGGTGATTTTACAGTTGAAGGTTGTAAAGTTTGACTTTACAGATTTTAAATTTCCCCGTTACAAGATCAGACATAATTGCAGAGCACATGATGTCCCTTGGTAAAGCAGTGATAACTGCCCTACTCCTGAAGTAGCTGCCTGAAAAGATGTTAATGCAGTGGCTCAAATTACAAATGGTAATTTAGTTACATATGCTATTAGAGTTGTGCTATATTAAGTATCAGTCAGCGTTTTAAAATACAAATTTACCAAATTCCTCATTCTGTTTCTTATTTTCTTAAATGTCAGATGGTTTAAGGTTGTTGCTTGTCTGTTCTTCCCATTTTCTTTTGTCTTTTTCTTCCCCTTAAGAGAGGGATTAGAATTTTTTTTATACCTTTAGTCACTACGTCAAGTGTTTTTTCACCATCTGGACATTAGGATCAATGTTTCTAAGGACAGTGATGCAGGAGTAGCAGGCAGTTACCACAAATAAAAACGAACTGGAAAAAAGAAAAACTCAGGGAGAAAGCAGAGGGGAGGAACGTCTATGCTGTCCTCTTTTTTTTCAGCAGAGGTTCTGCATATGGTGCTAACACCTGGAGATGTGCTGTAATCCTGCCTCTTGAGCACAAGAATAGAATCATGGAATGGTTTGGGTTGGAAGGGACCTCAAAGATCATCCAGTTCCAACCCCCCTGCCATGGGCAGGGACACCCTCCACTACACCAGGTTGCCCAAAGCCTCATCCAACCTGGCCCTGAACACTTCCAGGCATGGGGCATCCACAACTTCTCTGGGAAACCTGTTCCAAACCTATTCCAATACTTCTCTTAGGGAACAGATAGCTCTGTTGGTCCTGCTGCTTCGTCATTTTCCATGCTGCTGTTTATCTGTCTTTAAATTCTTGATTCAATTTTTAAAATACCAACACTTAGTAGCATGTACAAAATCTGAGAGTCTATTATGTCGGGTTTTTTGTGACTCTGTCTTCTTGTTTGTTTTTTAATGGCATGGGGATGAAGACTTTTATTTAAGTGATCAACTAATAAATTATTTTCCTTTCCTGATTCTTTTCCTTGTACGTTCAGACACTTGGGTTTGGAAAGTTTTAGTTCTTTTCTGGTTAATTCTGACACAGCTAAGATAAGCCCATGGTCGTAGATGTGATCTACAGCAACCTTACTTTATTTTGAGCGTTGACTGCAAAAAAGCCTTTGAATCAGACAGACCCAGGGAGACACATGGTGCCTTTGTTTGTTCGTAAGCTAACAAACAGTTGCTTCTGCAGCTTTGATAAGGCTTTCCCAGGGAAAGAAAAGTGTCTCCAGCTCTTTAACATTGGCTTTTATAATTGATGGGATATCTATGGCTAGTTTTACCCTGCAAAGGCTTTCTCAATTTAGCTCTCAAAAACGCTCTTTTGCCAGAGTAAAATTCGTTTGCGTGGCACTGGGTTTCATAGCACAGTCACGTTATCTAAGCTCGCCACATTCAACTGGTTTTACTGGGGCAATCATTTCTGCTGCTCCTTTACCAGTCCTGGTATTGCCTCTTGCAGTCCGTTGTAATGGAGACTGTGATAAGGGGGCTTTCAATTGCACATATTAGTCACTCCAGTCTCTGTCTTGACTGTTCACAAGAAGTGGCTGAATTTCTTGGGGTCTGGATTTAAGTTAAAAATGCAGATTTTAGAATGTAGTCCAAGAGGTAATTTTTACAAAGGATTTCATATTTATGGATGAAAATTGATGAATTTTTTATAATTCACTTTTACAAGAAAATCCCCATAGATGAAACAGTTATTCATTACTCTAAGTAGCTTTGCTCCCTTTCCGTTTCACTGGCAGAGGATGTGTCCCCCTTAACTGTTTCAGCCTTTGCCTCTGATCTGCCTAAATGTTCTGTAATGCTCAGCCATTTTCTAAAAAAAGTCTTCTCATTCATATTTTAAATAAGCAGCGCTTTCTCTTACCCTGTATAAACCATGCTGAGTCAACTTTGTTAGCATCTCAGGTGAGGAATACAACAGTTCCTGTTATGTTACATGACTTTGTCGTTGCCTAAGCAGAGAATATTTTAGCTCAAGACGCTTTGGTCTTATTAGTACATGAAGTGTTAATCATTTTGTTGAGAGAAATTTTCCCTACTTATGCAGTGATAATATAATGGTTATACTTTTCATGGTTGATCTCTAGAGGAGAGGATGTAGATATAACTGCCAGCTAATGGAGACTTCAGCTCAGCTGATAGTCTTCTGGATTGGTGTCCCAGTTTGGACCAGCGTCCAAGTTTTTGGACCTAACGCTTGTTTAGTGCCACAAGAAAACCACTGTGATTTACGGACATTTAAAGACTGTTCAGTTTTCAGAGCATTTAATGGTCTCGGGCTTCAGTTGCGTTAGAACAGTTGGGCTCAGCTTTCCGAAGTGCTCAGTGTTGGCAAAGTTCAGCTCCCCCTGGAGTTGGTGGGATAACTAATAGAAAACTGCGTTACACCGAGATTGAATACTCACAAAATTCCTAATGAGCCCTGTTAAGAAACAACCTCATGGAAGCAAGAACAGTAGAAGTATGTTGAAGGGAGAGGAGGAGGAAAGTCCTCTGTGCCTTCCTCCGCTCCTTTGCTTGGTACTGTTGGTAGACAAATGAACAACGGTGATTTCTGTGGTGTCCGTTGTCTGCGACTGCATCCAGAGCTTGTGGGTGATAGAGGCATTTCCGTCTGTTTTACTGCTGAAATGTCCTTACCTTGGTGAAATTGTTCATGTACAAGTAAAGGTGTGTCCATAAAAATCAACATTTTATTATGAAATGGTACGTCTGCGAGCTTTGTGTGCCAGCACAGACATGGGGATTCCAGAACCCAACTCTGTACAACAGAAATACACTGGCAGCACTGGTGTGACTGTGGTCCCTGGCTGACATCCCAAGTCTTTTCTGTCCTTGGTGGCTCCTAGCTTTGTGGTGGCTGAGGGAGCGTATTTCTTCCTTTACAACTCCAGACTGCAGAGATTCCTATGTTTCACCCCACATCCCTCTTCCAATCCCCTGAGATATATTGCAACGTCTCTGTCTCAAAGTGGCTCCATACTGATGGTTCTGGTGCCCCTACCCTCACAGTCACAACCCAGTAAGGTTTATGGGGCTTGTCCGCTGCGTGTCTGTCTCTCCTCCCATATTTTGGGCTGCTGTTCTTAGAGCTGTACCTTGGAACTGCTCTTGCTTCAACTGGCGATTTTCCCCATGAGGGAAAAGTTCATACTCTAGACAGACTTCTACGTTTGAATGTAGAAAGAAGAGAGCCCCCAGAGCCACAGAATGTAAATGTATATGAACCCTGTAAATCTGAATGCTTTTTTGTCTTTTGACTGAGCAACCTGTGCTCCACTTGTGTGACATTACGTTTTTTCTCCTCTCCAAAAATGATGTTGCCAATTCTTTCAATATATGGGCATCTCATAGAAAGGGAGTACTTTTTCTGGAATATCTGGTGGTATGTTTTCACTTTGGTCAGTTGTAAGCTTCTTAAAATTGAGTCAAGCCCCTGAATTAAGTCAGTCTTTAAAAAAAAAAGAAAAAAAATATTTGCCTAGAACAGTAAAGAAGGAGCAAAGATGTTAATTCAGTTTAACACTTACTCTGTTGAACCCTATCCTAATTATTCAATGTTCTTCTTGTAGGGAATTCTAAGCCTGGAATATTGTGTTGGTATTATTGGTGGCAAACCCAAGCAGTCGTATTACTTTGCTGGATTTCAAGGTTAGTGTTTTAATACGTTATGTCTCTTCAATATTTTTCTTTAATAAGAGTTAGGAAGTTAATATCAAACCAGTGGGAAATAGCATGATTAAAATAGCAAAATGAGTACCTTATTAATTCATCACATCTACCCAAGCCCAGCCATTTGTCATTTACCCCACGTGGTAATTGGATTCTGTAAAATGTACGTTTAATTTCCGCCGTTGCATAAACAAGGCATAATTTATCTGTTTCACCAGACTTCAGGAGCATTTGCTATTACTGTCTGGCAGTCCTTATTTACGTATTTACTTTTTACTGGTTTAAGTGGTGTTAGTTGATGCTTAAATGACAAGCAATATATTCTTCCTGTCAGGATGAAGCAGCACAATACATTTTTCATATGCAAACTCCAGAATATAATTGTGTGTTTGTAAAAGTAATTTTATCACCAAAAATTAAATGACAGCCTCATCACTTTATAAAAATTCTGCTTATACAAGCATATTTGATTATGCAAAAGTTAATCTGTCCTGCAAAAACCTATGCTTCAGTCAATGAATATCAGCCGGGCAAGCAGTTACTTGCTGCCTTTTTTTTTTCAGCTCTTCTGCATAGAAATTGGATTGTAAGCAGTGTAATAATAAGGTGTTTTTAGAATTACTTGTCTTCTGTTTTGTCCTTGTAGATGACAGTTTGATTTACATGGATCCTCATTACTGCCAATCTTTTGTAGATGTCAGCATAAAGGATTTCCCTCTTGAGGTAGTATGGATATAGACCTGGCACTGTTTTCTTCCCATATGAATCAAACACTAATTATTTAGAGATGTTCTAGCTAGCTGCATCTTTATGGCTTTACAGTTACATGTTATTTATCAAAGTTCTGCTCTCCTTTATAGGCCTATAATCAACAAAAATGACCAGAGGTTGAAAACTCAATATGAGGTTTTAATTTTTACTTCATTAATCTTTGTGTGTTTCTTTTTAATGATCAGAAACCCTGAAAAATAGATGATCACTTCATTTAAGTAATTTTCCATTACAGAAAATAGACAATATTTGGAGATCTTAAACCCAAGTGATTTGGATTTGATTTTGTTAGTTTGTCTTTTTGGTCATTTTTTATTTTATTTTATTTTAAATTCAAATTGCAACAAACGTCATGGGGAGAATTACTGTGGTATTCAATAGTAGGAGCCTGTTGTCAGTTTGGGACCACAGTTCCTGTAGGTTTACCTGCTGCTTCTTTATCTATGAGTTTGTAGTATTTCTCTACTGGAGTAGGTGGGTTATCATGTTAAACGTAACTTTTGCTCCTAACTACTTTGCAGCTCACTTTTTTTAGCTTCATATAAGGAAATTTTTGAGGCTTATCTGTGAGGTTTGTGGTTGACAGGTGAATTTTACTCAAGTCTGCTGAACTGCCTCTTTTAACAAGTTTTATTATTATTTTTAATCAAGCTATTTTTATGGCATAAGTAGTTTCCAAGAACCTGACAGGTCTGAAAGTGTAGGTGCTGTGTTTGTTCTTTCTTTACCCCCAACCCCCTTCTAGGCCATGACTTTCTGGGTTCATCTAGATGTAGCGAATGCATCTTTTCAGGCTATGCCTAGGTCTTAAAAAATTATGGTTGGGTTGTTTTTTTTTTTACAATACTGTTTTCCTCCTTCTTTAACCTCTTGCCAAATAACTTGCATTGAAAATAGATAGAGCTAAAGGAGGTTATTAAAGAACTCAATTTACCAGTACCAGGGGAAAACATTATCAGTTGCAGAAGTGAGTGTTCGATACTCACAGTAGAAGTACTCGGTGCTGTCCATACAAAGTCTCCTTGATCCTATGTCCGACTTCCAGATGAACTTCCAGCCTCCTCAGAGCAACTTACTCAGTGTAGAAACACGCTCTGGGTGCTTCCAATGCTCAGGACAGCATCAGCTGCTCTAGAACAGAATTGAGTAGTAGTAGTGGTGCATCATGCCACTGTGTTCTCTGAAGTTAAGTACTCCAGAACATGGAAACACAGCTGCAGGAACAACATACATAAGGAAGAGGAATATGGATTTATCTCCACTATCCCTAAAATACTAGCCCACTCCTGAGGAACTGAGTAGGTGATCCTAAATAGACCATTTACACCTAGAATATAAGTCAAATGGTGCGTAATGAACTTAGGTGTCTTCATGGCTTCTCTTTTGTGCAGCAGCTAAGAGTTAACTGAGAACAGTGGAGTGCAATGGTCCTGTCTAGTGTGACCGTGGAGAGAAGGATCTGTTCACATACGTTGATCACAATACCTGAATCAAAATACCATCCAGTAGTATTTAGGAAAAGTACTTACATATACCAGAGGACTTACACAGGGCTAATATGAAATCCTAGTGCCGACTTAAAGCACATACTACATATTTTTCAGTATTTGTGCTTAGCAAGATGCTTTAATCACTGTGACACAGAAGTATAAGGTTCTCTAGAAAGTGAGAAGCTTCTAAATTTAAAAAAAAGGAACAGAGCAGCAAAATGAATCAGAAAATATCCTAGAGAGAAACTTGCGTTATTTTTAGAGGCACCTTTAGACTTACCCCATTGAGACATTTGGAAGAAGCGTTGGTGAGTCCCAGCTCTGCCTGTTGGTATTGTGGCAGCAGCCAGAGATTATAACCAAGATCCTTGCCCCTTTGTGCTAATAACTGAAGTAAAATACAATGCCTTCTCTGAAGGTTTTACAGTTTAATTGGGTGAGCCAGGCAGAAGGTGGGAAGAGCACAAAGCAGCAGAGCTGAAGTGACTTCCTTAAGGTCACACTGTAGCTCAGTGGCCCAGCTCCAAAAAAAAAAAAAATACACATCTTTTGGCTTCTGTTCCCGTGACTAATCCTCCAGATTGTGCTGCAGGCTGCCATTAATATGAATTTCCAAATAATAATAAGGTTTTAAAATGTATTTTGAAGGTCCGCGAGCTGCCAGCTTGGCTTGATCACGTCCTAATGCTTTTTTGCAGACGGAAAATATATTGCAATTTAATGCTTAGTGCATTTAATAGTATTATGTCTTTGTCCAGAAATGTCAAAAGTAAACAGAAATTGCTTTCTTAGTGCGGATAGTTGCTCGTTAGATTTATCTGTAGGGAGTATTTTCAAAATTGACAAATTGTCCAGAATAAGTTGGAAATCAATCCACTCTGTATTGGCTTCCAGAATCCATTTGTTTGGAGGAATGGAAAAAAAAAAAAAACCAACTGCCTACCGACTTCTCTTTGTTGTACGGTGGTTTGTGCAGCATTAAGACCACTGCCCTGAGCAGCACAGCACAACTGGAGTTACGGTGGTGCTGCTGGAACGCGATGCGTCCGGCAGGCTGCGATTTGTGTATTTGATGACTTGGGAATGAATACTCAAAGTACAGTGTCTGCCTATAAAATTGGAACAGAATTAGGAGAAAAATCAGTGACTAAAATCAGTCTTGTAGAAATACAACTTTCTCGTCTTTCCTTGTGTTTTTTTGGGGAGAGGTTTCATAGAAATACCTCTCAGGTTTGTAATCACAAGTGAAGAACCATATACTTCAGTAGGTGAAACTACTACACTGACAGATACTCTCAGATTAGTAACTAGTGCTGTCGTCTTCTGTACGCTGACTTTTCTGACTGCCAAAAAAAAAAAAAAAGGCAAAAAAAGATAAAACGTGTTTCTGATATACAGACTGCTTGATGTTAGCTGTCAGGGGTTGCTGTTGATACAGTCAAATCAGGCTGTAGCAGTTGTTATCCTTCTCCTGGAGGAAACACAGGGTGAGAAATCCCCTGTGTTGCTCTGTCCTGGTGTTGCTGTTGTGTCCTGGTCCAGTGCTGACCCGCGCTGTCCCCGGAGAGCTGTGCACAGCTCACACGTGAACGTGGCAGGAGATAGCACAGGGTAGCCACTGGGGAATACTGGTCACTGGGGGGAGGTTTGTGAAGAGCAAAACCCGCGTTGTAGCACGGCGGTGCCTGCATTCCAGCGTGGTGCAGACGTGGCGCGTCAGCGTTGGTCGCAGAGCGGCTGTGGCAGGATCGCCGGTGATGGAGTGCAGGTGGGATGGCGGGGTGGTGGGATGCGGGTTGGCGGGGCAGAGCGGGCTGCCTTTCGGAGACAGGCAGTGGTGGCCACACAATTTCAGCTGTTAGGCAGGGAGCTTCACCAAAACTGCAGTTCCTGTCGTAAATCAAAACGTAATCGGGGTAGAAAGCACACGCTCATCTTTTTTCTTATAAACTGAGTGAGTGTGGGCACAGGGGTTGGGTATTTGTTTGGTTTTTCTTACACCATGACTGCTGATAGCATCAGGTCACAGCCCTGTCACAGCATCATCTGTCACAAAAAGGGATTTCACATTAGGAAAAAAAAAAACACTTATAAAGCAGGGCATGTTGTTTGTTTTTTTTCCTGACATGTGAATTATTGGAATATGGTTTTGCGTTTGCGTTTTTTAACCAATTTCGTGTACTACAGGAAAATGCACGAGGTTGGTTTATTCCGTTATGGCTCTTTTATAGAGGCTGGGGGAGGGAAGGGGGCAGTGGGCGGTGGTAGTAAAGCAGTAATTGTTGAGATAGTGCAAAAGCTGTTACAAATTCAATTTGCAGAAGAGCATTCACCTCCTCTGCCTTGGGAATATTCAGGAAGTCCTGCTCGGAGCGGCAGACCCGTGGTAGATTTCAGACTGACATGGAGTGTGCAAGTTTGAATGCAGCAGGTTTTATACGTGTGGAGAAAAGTGGGATTACTTGGATGTTTGGGGGGGTGAAGGAAATAACTTCAGAAGTGTGTGTTGGGTTTTAATTCAAGTGATAGAGGGGATTGTATGTTAAAGCTGTTGGTGGGGAAAAAATGAAATGCATTGGTGGGTACCGTCCTCAGCCTTAACCGTGCGTTTCATGGTTTTTAATCCTGACACTTGCAGTCATTCCACTGCCCTTCTCCCAAAAAGATGTCATTCAGAAAGATGGACCCGAGCTGCACGATAGGATTTTACTGCAGAACGGTGCAGGACTTTGAGAAGGCGTCTGAGGAAATATCGAAGGTAGGCACCTCGCCGCGGTGGCGTTCCCAG